CAGCTCCTAAACTAAACTAGAAAAGAAACATTTTGAATGTTGGCTCATGAGGAGAAAGCTGTCAGTCAAATCAAGGCCCGCCCCTTCTCTTCCGGCTCATGGGACCTTATTTCGGAAAAAATATGTATGGTAGTCAATGGCGAGAGACAACTTATGTTTTTATTCCGTCTGAACTGTGCCCTGAATTACACGTATGATGTTTGTCAATTTAAAAGATAATTCTGAAAGTCAAAAACGTCGCAGTTTGTCATAAAACAGAAGAGTAACTTTTAGTTTTACGTGAAAATCGCTCAATGAACTACATCTCCCAGAAGCGAAACAACGAGTGAGATCCGCTGCTCGTGTGTGTGCAGTCTGGTACAAAACACCCAGGTATGACGGCGTAACGTTACTATTATAACGTAAGACTATAGAAACAATGACAGACATTAGCTTCAGTAAAGTTAGCTTCATTCATTGAGAGAAAATGTGCGCCTTTGGGGTTTGTAGTCTTTATAATTACGTATTTTCACAGTCTTATACCTCAACGGTTTTACATCAAACTGCAACTTTCTTGTCTTTAAAATGTATCTTTTAAATTGACAAACATCATATGTGTTATTCAGGGCACAACTCAAACAAGATCAAAATATTTGTTGACTACCATAAGGTCCCATGGTGGTCGACCGGAAGGGGAGGGACTTAGGCTCTCTATAGCCTCACTGAGTAAATGTGCTTTACCATGGATCTTCCAGCTGGAATTTAATTGGAGGATCCATTGACGCATCACTCTTCATGGAAACACAGCTGAGCACTGGAGATGCAACTCTCTTCTGCTGATGAACCTCAACACTAGAAAAACAACAGGAACTGAATAAGGCTCATTTTAATAACTGTTCTAATCAAAATACTTTAGTATAAAACAATCAAATTGACACATTATATTAAAGACATTCTGAGAAGATGAACAATATGTATATATTTTTTCTTTCTAGTTGAAAATGCAGTAGGCTAATGATCAAAAAAAAGAAAAAGTAGGCCAACCTTTCGGATTCTTTGGCCGTGTGAGGTTCAGTAGGAGAGAAGCTGGCGTCATCTTTGTCCTCATGGCTGCTTGTTGTGACATTATCTTTGATTTCACTAGACTCACTCATGGTGCCGTCTTTCAGCCCACCTTACTCAGTCCTAAAGTCTACAGCGACACAAGACACCCAAAGTGCTTTCTGTCAGTTGAACATCATTTGCACACTTCACCTTAAATTTGCTTGCCTGAACTATGTGCATAACACTATGTTCGAGTTTATGAATGTAAAATGGCTTCTATGTAGTAAAGTAGCCAACATACTAATAAAAATTACATTAGAACTTCCTAATCATGTTTAGTGTATGATGACTTGTTTAATTCACATGCTGGAATAAATGTTTTATTGTTTTTCAAATTATGAGAGACAGATAGAGAGAAGGCGATACACATTTTTTTTCCTTCTTCTTTCCTTTTAAATTCGAAGGAAGCTGAATTTCACAAGGCATTTTTAAAGAAGTAAATAAACCTGAGTTTGATCTTCACGGTCAAGGTCATCTTGGTTCTTATACACTCATCTTGGGGCATTCAGCATCTTCTGAAACACAACACGGGTATTTTTTACAGAATTCCACATGACCAATTTGAATGGCCTTTACGCAACACAATTTCACACAACCTTTCGACGAATGAATAGGTCTAACATTGTCCCGTCATATTTTTACTCTTTTTAAGAGGGGAAAAGCTTAATGTAAAATTGTTACCTTCGCCATCGGGATATCTGTTATCTTATTTTACCGTTTTAACTAATTCTGAGGGGATGTACAACTGCGCAAGTGTATTTACCTTGTTTTTGTTAGTGCGTTGTAGGAACTGTGGAGTTTCGTTTTCTGTTCTCATTCAGGATTGAACGACATTATTAAATGACTGGAGACAGACACCTTAACTGACGTCACATAGGCGGGTCATTCATCTGTCAGAGGTTACGTTGGGAACTTGTCTTGGCCTACATGCTATATACAATATATATATATATATATATATATATATATATATATATATATATATTAATGAATGAATTTACCATTGTTTAAAACAAAAACAAAAGAGTCTTCCGGGTTGGACAGTATTTTGTCCTCCAGGGGGCGCCTGAAGGCTCGTGAATTCAATTCCTCTCGTGAGCTGCGTGTGGAAATCTTTACAAACGACTTCATAAAAAGTGCTTTGTACAATAATCACAACCACTGCCATATTTCTTCCTAAATGTCAAACAACATGGCAAAAACTAGACCAAACCACACATATTTAAACCAAAGAATACAGCTGAGACGTGGCTTGTGTCTGAACAGAATGGGTCTTTATTCAGGAAATCAAAGAAAAAGATTGTAATCAACACCCCATTTAAATACAAAACAAATAAAAAAAATAAGGAACAACATGATATTCAGTTTGCATATCAAAGAGCCATTCAGTAATAATTACAGTCTGAACACTTCATAAACCACTTGTGTGAATCTATACACAAACTTGATTTAGAAACTAGAACATTAACATTATTACAAAGATTTTAGCTTTAAAAATAATTCAAATTGAAATAATATCTTAGCAGTTAGCATCATAAAATTATATATTCATATCTTTCCACATAAAAATACAAAATAATATTAATGACATATAATATGAAAAATTATCCCAAATATTTCGCTACTATTAGAGTAAAATAAAAATAAAAAAACAAGAAAGAAACAAACCAACAAACACAAAAGAAATAGAAATATGCATGAAAAAGTTTCTCCTTTTGTTAGCAAAACACTATCCAAAATAACTACAATCATTTACATCAGTACAAAGATATCTGGATTTAAAAATAGTTGCAATGAAAAAAAGGGGTTTCATCTTTTCTGACAGTAAAAAATGACACTGTGAATCAGAAATTTGCAAAATATGCAATGAAAAAAATAAATCTGCATTTAAAAAGGTATACACTGCAATTCTCACTTTTTATACAAACATTAGAAACAGTATTGCACGTCACAACACAGATTCGAGGTTAGTAAGCCTTTCAAAATGTGTTATATTCAAGTTTCTGAGTATCAGTGAGGGGAGGGCTGATACCCCTCCATCTAACCAGGGAGAGTCTCAAGTGTTTTCCATGAACATAGTAGAACCCTCAATGCTTCCTTCCTTCAAATAAACTACACCACCAAATTAAATAGTAATCAAATCCATGTGTGCTAAGCAATAATACATAAATAGATTCATACACACACACATACACAACTGCACAGATGATGACGATTCAAGAAACAGCCTTTTGCGTGTGAACGTAATCATAAATACGTGGGCAAATCAACTGACAGTCAGAGGTCTACAGAAATAGAAAAATACAATTTAAATCAAATAGTTATCTGTCTACAAAAATAGTCAAATAAATATGATTTCTCAAAACGACAACAACGAAAAAACCCACATACGAAGCAACAGTGTTGAACACAGAAAAAGGACTGCGGGTTTCAGTTCCCAGAAACACCTTCGATGACCATAATCTGGGTCCGGCGTCTTACACAATACATCAAATAAGTTACTATGCAAAAATAAAGATATTTAAATTATCCAATAGACTTAAAATAGGTCGCAATTCTTCTAGAATGAAATAGTACACACACACACACACATATACAAAACAAAACAAAACAAAAAAGTGACGTGATTCCAAATAAAATAAAGACTGTTTTGCGTTCGACTCCAAACGTCAGGGAAAGAGGGATTGGTTCTCTCAGAGGAGAATGGAGAGGAGAGAAATCGGAAAAGGTAGTGCATCACGTGTCCTCCAGAGTCTGGGACGCGTCAACAAATAAATAGACACATATATATATATATACGCAATAAATTAAACACACTGTTGACACTTGAAAGGTTAAATCACATACACGACAGTACGACGAGGGCACTGAATTCTTCACCGAACCCGCCAACACAAGGATATATAGAGTGCAAAAAAGAACGACAGAAAGAACAGTACAGTACCAAACGGACGGCCGGTCCACTGCTTCTGTAGAGATTGTCCACAAGACTGATCCGATCGAATCACCTGATCGCTCGGAAAATCAAAACGGCTCCGCTACGCGAATGTAATCGCCGACAGGTTTCCTCTGTAGCGTCTCTCTCCTCTCTTTTCTCCATGACCGATAGCCAGATAGCACACGTACGTCTGCAAGATGTCTATTTACGATCACTTCATCTGGAAAGCATCTGCCGTTTACTAACGTCTGATAGACGTCAGTTTAATCTTTACATCTTAAAGACATCTTCTAAACGTCCTATTGACGTCTTCCAGATGTAAACACACACATCACCCAGACAGCAAACTGACATTGAATCAACGTGGAAACGACGTCTCTCATGACATTGAAACAACGTTGATTTGCTCATCGAATTAACGTTGAACCAACGTCAGACGCGGCATTCTTCAAAGCTAAATGAAATCGAAAATTGGTTTGCTTTCATAACGTTGAAACAACGCGTTGATTTCAAGTTGATTTTCCGTTAGTTTTGAAAGAATGACGCGTCTGACGTTGGTTCAACGTTAATTCGATGAGCAAAACAATGTCAGATCAACGTTGTTTTGATGTCATATTTCCACGTTGATTCAATGTCAGTTTGCTATCTGGGCAAATAGACGTCTCCGTTATGTACGTGTGCTATCGGTGTTGTATGGAAGCTTTTTCCGCCACGTAATAAACAATTTAAAAGATAATTGCGACTTATCTCAAAATTCGGACTTTATTTCTTGCAATTCATGCAAAACATTTAGCCGTAACTAGTTTAGAAACTAGGTAGTCGAAGAAAAACTGCGAAAACAAAACTAGCTTGTTTTGCTACAATGCTAGCTACATAGACGAGAGATCGTGCCAAGAGTTCGAAATTACCATCATTTGTACAACTCTAGCATGAACGAACACCAAGGTAGTGACATGGGTTGTAACTCTAGCGTGAGGGATTGCGCAAAACTGCATGCGCCGAACGCCGTGTACGAGTCAAAAGAAATAGCAAGGCTGTGCGTTCGACACGTAAAAAAACTAAATATACTTTCTACTTGACGCACAGTGCGCCCTCTAGTGCTCACCGTCAGAGAAAGCGAGAGGCCCGTTGACAGAACTGCCACGGCCCAATCGGACCAGTCGTTAGCCTTGCTAATTTAAATATTCAAGCGCAAGAAGATAACTAGCGCAAACTGTGTGAGAAATTTCGTCTGCGCCAACTGCACATCCAATTAAACTCTCTTTCACGTCTTCTTGCGCTTGAACGCACAATTTCACAAACGATTGTCAAAACTATCCTATCCTAGTAAATCTCGCGATTGTGAGTTTATGTCGCGCAAGTGCGAGAAAAAAAAATTCGTCGCAATTACCTTTTTTTATTCTGTGGCGGAAACAAGCTTCCATACTTTTTTCGTCCGGAGAATAAACTACGAAACGTGGAGACGCACAGACAACGAACGACCACAGCTACAATTCCTTCGCCAGTTCCTACCAACCAGAGAAGAGCTCTCGTCCTGCGCTCCAGCGACTACTGTAATACGAGGGGTGGAATTCAGGGGTGTTCAGGAAGGGCAAAGGTTAAATGTCGATCCTCTAGATCGTAGAGTTTAAATCGAACTGAAACCTCAATTCATAACTAGACTCACACTGCACGAAGACAAGACACGAAAACCACGGGACAGCACACCGTCTCTTGACTAATTATCGAGTTACAAAATGGCAGAGCTCACTACTCTAAAAACTAACGTCACTTCTCTCGTAATAAGTTCGTAAAGGAATCATCACAACAACGCATGCAAAGGTTTACGAAGAATTTTACACTGTTTTTTTTTTCCTTTCGTTATTAGTATTGATTATCTAAGAGTCTGACCTTTTTAATTTCCGCCTCATGCTACATAAATTCCTCTGTGTATCGTTAATATGCATCTTTCTTATATGTGCTGGTAACCTTTACACGGCATGCAAATGATGTACAGCCACAAACATGCACGGAAGATTCCACATTCTGTGTTTCCATGGCGCCGGTCGGCCATGTCGTGCGACTGCATTTCTGTGTGCGACATCGCCAGTGACGTCACAATGGCATTTCATAGAACACCGACACTATCTATTCGTTACATCCTATATAGCAGCAAAGCTTCTTCTATAGCTTGTGATTAAATTGCAAGAGTAGAGCAACAACAAGCCAGATTAATATTCTGAGGTATTGTCTTTTCTTGTTTGTTTGTTGTTGTTTTTTTTTTGCCAGTGGAAAATGGAAAGTCTCAGTAATTCATTATTGAATCATTCCTATTCCTGCTAAGAGCACGTTGGAGTGAAAACAATGGGGGAAGGGGGGAAATATTACTCCTTTTTTAGTATTCGGCGGCAAACGTCTCGTTTTCAGGCCGCGCGTTTCGCTACCTTTGGTTCGAGATCCAGGGCAGGCATCAGAGATTACGTCATCGAGAGACAATTGCGCACTTTGCCCACTAGGGGGGGATTTAGCAGCAGACGGACACGCGACGGACACAACGAATGAACACAACGGACAGGCTGCCCCCCCAAGCGAAAAAACATTCTCGTTTCTACTTTTTTTAAATCTCACATATAAAAATAATTTGAAAAAACTACAAAAAATCAATCTCTTTTTTTTCTTTTTCTCAATCTCCTTTTTAAAAAACACGAAGGTACCACAAAAAAAACTCTGTTCCGAGCCTGAGATGTGCAGTGAGGGAGGGAGGAGAAAGAAGTGGTTTGGTGAAATAAACTGAGGCTTGTAGTGTTTCTGGCTGCTACAAAAGATAAAGATATATTTATATATTTATAGACATATATATATTCTCTATATACTGTATACGGTTAATTACTCTATACTGACAGCTTGGGTTCGGGGGGTCGAACTAAGCATCTTTTTTTTTCCCCCCCGTAGCAGACGCGATGTTTCCGCTTCGTCTCGCATGCTCTCCGGGGACGCCCGTCTTTAGTTCCAGCGGAAGTGGATCTGGCGGGGACGGTCGGCTCCCTCTTTGACCAGCGGCTTGTGAAACTCGCGTCCGGCGCGGGAGTGGATGTTCGCCCAGCAGAACTCGCAGTAATACTGCAGGCAGGTGACGTTGGCGCAGAAAAACGGGGCGAACTTTCCTCCGCAGCGCGCTCCCTGGCACTCGTCGCACAGCTGGTCGTCCAGCACGTACGGCTTCACCTCCACCTGTGTGATCAGGAAAAACACGCTTGATTTCTACTCGGATTAAGTACAGCTGCTCATGTAGTCATCAATAAACAGTGCTGGGTTATAGTTAGTGGGAAATAATGATATGTTTATAGCCTTGAATTACTCGAGATCAGTGTCTCGTTCAAATGTTGTATTTATGATTTCTATGAGTCCTCCTGTGGTGAAAATCAAGCCTTTAATGTTGCTTTTAATGTCAAAACGCAAAATATTGAATCGTGATTAATCACATTAATGTCATAGTTAACTCGCGACTAATCGCAATTAATCTCACATTTTTACCTATTCTAAATGTATCTTGATTTCCTTTTTCTCATTTTAATGCTCTTATCAACATGGAAAAGTGGATCGGCTTGCTTTGTGTAAATGTTTTTTATTGAAAACAACATTGGCAAATATACTGTGTTCACATTCTCACTCGGAGCAAATAATCTCACACACTGTAACACTGTCCATCAATAAAAGGGTGAAAGAAATGGGTGAAGAGGTCCTGATATTGACGAGGGGCGGAGTTTTCGCATCAGTTGTGTGTTTGAGTGTGTGTGCTTGGTCATCATCAAGTGGTGTTTCAGACTGGACGTGCAGCGATGATGATAGCTCAGTTCAAAACGACAAAACACACAGATCACTTTGTCTTGTCAATGAAACCATTTGGCAACTTTTTAAAAGTAAAATTTCCATTCAGAATCTTATTGGCATCCATTTCGGCGTCTCGCGCTCGTCATCCACTCAACGTAACGTTAACCAACTATTTGGCTGGCTCGCAAGCCCAAACGAGTGTGCGCGGCGTTGTCTGTTGTTTTGTTTACGGTCTAGCTATATCCGCTTGCGCTTTGGTTGGCGAAGCAACAAAACGTTTTCATGCGGCACAAGCCATTGAAATGAATAGGTTTCAGAGCGCAGTGCGCATGCCACGTCCTGTTGCAAAAGCATGTGAAAGAAAACTACAAAGTTTGCTAGGGCAAAAAGACCGTTAATCGCACGATAAAAAAATGAACGCCGCTAAAATGGGTTTGCGTTAACGCCGTTAATAACGCGTTTAATTGACAGACCTCTTTTAATGTAACAAATCATGTGCAAATTCATAAGTCGACAGCATTGCTGAGTATTAGTGCTGCACGTTTTCAAGTTTTTCATTAACCGTTAACCGAGGCCCTTATCGGTTAATACTCGGTTAACCATGTGCACGCCGCAACCTCGAGATACAGAGTTAATTTTTTAACACCTTTAATAACTGGTTGGACCCCATTTGAAACGAAATTAATTTATAGAAATAAAACGCAGTGGTGAGTTCAGAGCAGTTAAAGTAGGCGCGTGCGTTTCCATCACCCTTCAAACTGAAATTGCCCATTGAAAATACGCACATTGGCAACACGTCCATTTCGCAAAAAACTCCGTGTCCGCAAATAATAATAATAATCATCATTATTGTAACATTTTATTAGGCTGCATATGTAGACAACGCTTTTATCCAAAAAAGCACAAATAAACACAATATTTTGACGCATATCCAGTGTGTGTGCTTAGTGTGGAGGCTGCGAGACGCCCATGTGAACACTTGCAGTTTCATTGCAGTTCTTTCAGTGGAAACAACTTAAAATACTCTTTCATTTCTGGTCATACAGAAAATAATAATACATTATTCGCAAATACATTTATTTGCGTAAACTCACTATAATAAAAAAACGTTGTGCTTTAACAAACAGGCGCGTTTCATGATCTCCGTGAACTGGAGCGCGAGAACTGAAACAGCCACCGCATTCGAATTTGTTCGTTTTAAATTGGACATTTAAAGCTTTAGTCTTTTAGACTAAAACTTTAAATGTCCAATTTAAAACGAACAAATTCGAATCGAAAGACAATATCTTCTGACTATGCAATTATGTAGCCTAGCTAATTATGTATTATTCTCTAAAGGTGCATCCGGGGATGGAGATTTGTTTTTAGCAGAAACTGATTTAGAAAACAATAGTTTATTAATAAACAATTAATGCCTCGTTATTTTATATTATTTTATTATCAGACACATTTATTATATCTTATAAATCATCTATAAATCCCCTTTCTGTAGGCTGTGGTTACGGCTCTTCTCATTCAGCACTGCGGGGGAAATATCATTTCCAGGTTCTAATTTGGCCTCAGAAAACCAGTAAAATCTTTTTTTTTTTCATATTCATTTGTCAAATATTTTAAATGTTTAAAGGGGCAAAAAAATCAAACAAATATCTGAAAATTCGTCGATATATAGCCTATATATTTTTGCGCAGCACGTAGTCCTACAGTTCAAATGAACATTTTGGTGTTCAACTCTGCGTTTTACAAAATACAACAACCGTTCATTTTTCGTTTCGCAATTAGGCCTACGGATTAAATAAGGGGAAACGAATTAACACAACAGTACACTGACCGTTTGGACATATACGAGGCAGAGTTCTTTTTTAAAATTCATAAATGAATTCATTTAAATGAATTCATCAAAGAAATGCCACAATCAAGACCGCGGAGCAGAAATGAGGGAGAAACACACAGAAACTCTGTCTCTTTCCCTGCCATTAATGCTTGGATGACACACCACGTCTCCTTCCATAAATAATAATAATGTCTAGTGCGGTGGCTGTGATATACCAACGCCCGTTGCCATTGGAATGGCTTATCGCGAAAGAAAAAAAAAAATGTTTTAGTCGCATAACACCGTTAATAGAAACGCTGTCATTTCACAATATTTTTTTTCGCTTTTGACAATCAGAAAAAAAACCCGCAAAAGTTTTGTGCAAATATGCATTGATTGAAGGTTTCACTCGGTTATGCAATTTTAAACCGGTTAACCATGGACACCCCTACTGAGTATTTTCTCCTTAAAAACAAAACACGTCTCAAAAACATGCGCACTCTTCAAGCACGTTACTTCAAATCTTTTGACAAACTAAAAGACGTAAATTCCATTTGTATGTATTCTAAATAAAAGGCACCGGTTGTACTGAATGTCAGCTTGCTTATTTTGCTCAAGATAAGGATTTATTACCTCCAAATGTCATGCAATATAGAAACGATGCCTCTAACCACAGGTCGAGAGCTGTCGTTCAAACCACACAACTTTGCGATGCTGTTTGCCAATGTCCGTTGGAACGATGGTTTCGGGAAACACCGACTATGCTGATAACGACGGAACTTGCCACCATAGTTGGCTAACGATGCTTTCGGGAAACGCACCCCTGGATGTAGCAGAGAATCGCGTAAGAGGCGTCCGGTTACCCGTTTGTCGATGTCTCCGTGCTGCAGCTGGACGAACCGGGCGCTGATGGCGGCGATGTAGCTCTGCTGATTGGAGAAGGCCACACGCCCCGCCCCCTTTGGGTACTTCAGCTCGGGATCCGTGTCGATGCCCGCGTAACACACGCCGCCATACAAGCGGTCCATGATCATGGCCAGCTCCACTGCAGAGCACACACACACACAAGGAAAACTCATTAAAACAATATCTAGACAGAGAACATGATTTGACTTAGTCACATTGATTGAAATAAATGGGGATTATTGGCACAGGTGAGGGTTACCCGCTCTCAGTGGACGAGGCACTCCTCCCACAAAGATGGTTTTGCGTGGATCCAGCGGCTGAGATCCGTCCATCACGAAATCACTGTCACTCAGGTTCCACGGACGAATCTGGACCTGAAACAAACGCAAGCATGTCAAACAAGTGTTTTCACACCCGAGTCCTCTTTAACAAGAACCGAACTCAGACTCCTTTAAGTGGACCGAGAGGTGAAGTGGAAAAGGACCCAGTCCAGGACTCTGCTCCTTTTTCGGTCCACTTAAGCAGGAATGTGGTCATGTGTTCACACTGTTGCTTTTTGAATCTAGTTCAGTGTGCCGTACTCAGACCGCCTCCCAAGATGCTCTTGGTTCGGTTCGCTTTTGAGATCGTTTGTAGTGTTCACACATTGTTTGTTTACTGGTTTCAGCCTGACGCAGTTTTCATTTTCACGTCCTGCGACGCATTATCCAAATGCAGTGTTGGGTGTAACTAATTACTAAGTAATTAGTTAATGTAATTTAATTACTTTTCCCTTGAAAATGTAAAGTAAGGGATTACTCTTCATTTATCTGTAATTTAATTACAGTTACTTCTGATGTAATTGAGGTAAATACTGTGTATAGATCAATTCGATCTCACAGCGATTCGTATGCATTTTATGAGGTGTCTAAATTGTACGACCGCACTCGTACAAATTCGTATTAATTATTGTAAAATATGTCTGAAAAAAAGTGTGAAATGTCATGAGATCAGACATAAAACAATAGTGGGTTTAACATCAAAAATATACTGTCTGATGCTAAAAAGTATGTTTTTATAATGTAACCTTCTCCACCTTGGTCAGTTTAAAGATAATTCATGCAATTTTATAGTATTTATTTGAAAGAATTAAAACAGATTCATGTCTATCCTTGTATTATTCAGCTGGTTGAGATTGATATGGGATTTTGAAAGTTATTAGTAATTAAAATTAATTAAATACTTTTTAGAGAGAGTAATTAGTAGAGTAATCTAATTACACTGTTGAAGAGGTAATTAGTAACTAGTAATTAATTACTTTTTTAGAGTAACTTACCCAACTCTGTCCAAATGTCAAATGGATTTGCGCCCATGTGTTCCCCCATGGGCTGCTGGTCTGAGAACGAGTGTGTGTTTAGGCGCATTGTTGCTATTTGAGGAACTGAAATAGACTGAACCATTGACCAACTGAAACCTCTAAAGTCTATGGCGCAGTGTTATTTAAAAGGGGCGTTTGATTGCGATTTCACTTTTTTCATTTTAAATAGTGTGTAATGTTGCTGTTGGTGCATGAACAGTATCTGCAAAGTTGCAGCGCTGAAAGTTCAGTGTAAGCAGAGATATCGTCTTTTTAAAATCAGGAAGTATAATTGCCTACAAAAACGACTGGATTGGGACTACAGCTGGGTTATGGTACGTCACTAACCCACACATTTGCCTCAACCCTCCCTCCGGAATATGAAAAAATGGGCATGGCCATATTGTCAGGTCATAGCTGTCATGTCTTATGTATTCAAACTTCCCACGGACGCTGTACTTCGTCAACAATGGCTACAATTTATGTTTGATTATGTTCCTGAAAATGACGATCGTAATCTAGCTCTCTGTGCTGCGCATTTACGGAAGACAGCTTCCAGAATCTCCACGAGTTCAACACCGGATTCAACAAGAAACTGTTACTAAAACATGAAGCAGTTCTGACTTTAAAACCCGAGGCAGCAGTTGTCGGGCCACAACCTGTAAGTCGGCGAAGACTTCATCATTTTAAATGTATTTGCATGTATAATTCCAGACGTAGCCTTGTGTTTTATTTTTTTCAAATGCCAGCGCTGGCTTTATAGTCACTATATGCTACTAGTAATGCTATTTTGTGTCTACGACAAAATTTTGTATACACTCTAAAAATACTGGGTTGTTTTAACACAACTTTGGGTCAAATATGCTCAAACCCAAACGTTGGGTTAAAAATGTAATTAAAAAATGGAACCCAATGGCTGGGTTTGTCCATATTTGACCCAAGGTTGGGTTAAAACAACCCAGAAATTTTTTAGAGTGTAAGTACTAATGTTTTAAACGTATTTTTCATGTATATGCTTTATGACGTTATTTTCGATTTGATCAAGAACGTAAACTTGCCAACGCTGTTTGTGTTTAACATTAGTAGCCAGTCAGTTGCTATTGTTGCCAGTCAGATGCTATTGTGTAAAACAAACGTGTATAAAGTTAAAAAATGTAGCAAATTATCATTCATAAACGTTTATTAAGAGCCGTGTGTGGTGAGGTTCTGCTTGACTCTCTTCATCGCGGCTTTCTCGGTCTGATTCTGCCTCAAACTGATACTGCAGTTCGACACCATTATTTACATCCGGAGCGCAGGCACGTTTCGCCCGTATAGGTAATGGGCGTTAACCTTCCGGACAACGTAAGCGACAGTTTAGCCAATCACCACACATCGGCCCAAACTAACCAATCTGAGCCCACTGTGTGTTTCTGAGGGAGTGTTTTCATAGACTCAGGAAGTGAACCGCTCGTTCGAGGACAGAGGAGAGCGCGGCTGACAATAAAGCTGAAGTTTATGAAAAATAAGACTTTTAAAAAAAGAAAAAACACGAATACATGTTATATTGCACCCCATAAACACAATCATGCAAAGAAAAAAAGCAGTCAACCCCCCCTTTAAAGAGCGCATTAGTAATGTGTGCCTATAGGCGAGTGCAGCAGCACACAAACATGCCAAATACTGAACATCAAAGGATTACAATGTAAAAGATGAATATTGTGATATTTTCATGTGAATATAGTCATAAGATGAATAAACACTTTACGAGCAGAGCCGTTTCCTAACTAGAGAAGGGTTCAGTTTTTCCGCTTATAAATCTCGTCATGTAAATATAGCGAATCCGCCACGGCACGAGCACAACTGGCTTTTAAAGGGAGTAGGAGATGAGACTCTGATTGGTTTACTGCACGTTACACCCAAAACTCACCCCATTAGGAGAATACCGCTTGATCGTCGACCATTTTCCCCGTTGTTATACTAGCAAAAGTGGATTCGGACTCGCCCTAAGTGCACTTTTACACCATGTGCTTAGATCCTGAAATAGTGGCCAGTATGTGGACTCACAGGCTTGTCTTTGATGGTGGGGCTGGACACACACAGGTAGAGTTTGCCATCCTCCTCCAGACAGGCTTCGATCAGGGCCTGCACTGAGCTCTCCTCTTGAAACAGGAGGAAGGCGTAACCTAGACAAAAGCCCACCACACACACAGTCCGTCCGTCAATCATTAATGAAGAGGGTTGTGATGTCTCAGTTTACTGTTTTACAAAAGAGTTTAGTATGCACATGCAGATCCTGGATTTCCCTGATTTTTCTACACGTACCTTTAGGAGGGAAGTAAGACTTGCTCTCCGCTTTGTGCGGCCAATCAACAACCAGGTGACCGAAGCGCCGAAAACTGCTTGTGATTTCATCTGTGTGAAAGACGAGACACTGAGAATCAGAGAGAGCTGCGGGAACGGTTGCCTTTGCAGACAGGAAACATAGAGATTTTAATCTGCACGAGTATAGGAGAATCAAACATCGGGTAAAAGTCTTTCGCATCATTCGTTTCGATCGATATATATCTGCGGATCGGGTCAAATTCTCTTCAGACGGACAGTCAATCAACATGTCTCATCAGCGGCAGCCATTTTGTTTGATGATCTGCTGGGGTTTTATGTGTCTCAGTGCTGTTATCGAGTAATCTGCTACCAGAGAGATGGCAGAACGATTGCAGTGGCTTCGGGGAAAGACTGAAACAGGTTTGCAAAGTCCTTTGTGCATCTGAAAGACTGTAGATCAGAGCCTGATAGTGAAGAAGACGAAACCAGAGAGTGGAAGAACAGGTGACGAGGAGTGAAGAGGTTCCTGCTGTCTAAAACATTCATTAAGAGTTCATATAATATAATATAATACAATATAATACAATATAATATAATATAATATAATATAATATAATATAATATAATATAATAGGGCTGTCAAACGATTAATCGCAATTAAATGCATCCAAAATAAAAGTATGTGTTTACATAATATATGTGTGAGCACTGTGTATAATTATTTTATATATATATATATATATATATATATATATATATATATTTAAATACACACATGTATATTTAAGAAAAAAATATTTATATATATAAATATTGATATTTATATATAATATAAATTATATATAAATCTATATACAATATATAAATGAAAATATTTCTTAAATATATACAAGCATGTGTGTGTATTTATATAAATAAAATAATTATACACAGTGCACCCACATATATTATGTAAACACAAACTTTTATTTTGGATCCGATTAATTGTGATTAATCGTTTGGCAGCCATATAATATAATATAATATAATATAATATAATATAATATAATATAATATAATATAATATAATATAATATAATATAATATAATATAATATATACATTTTAGAATTAGTTCATGATATTAAATTGTTTTAATTAATCCAATTAATTGGAGTACCAGACAGAGAGGTGTACAAACAAAACCGCTTTCAAAAACGTGAAATACTACATTACATAAAACGTGAAATACTACATTACATAAAAAATAAAAGACATTTTTAAGAATCCATTATTGTAAATTATATAATATAATATAATATAACATAACATAATATAATATAATATAATATAATATAAAATAATATAAATGTAATGTAAATGTAATATGTAAGGAAATGTAATATTATAAAATATTTTTTTAGAATCCATCCATTATAAATCCATTATATTATATATATATATAATATAAGGGAAATGTAATATTATAAACTAAAATAAAATATGTTTTTAACCATTATAACACATTCTATTATTTCTGAAATAGAATAGAATTTTATAATTATTATAATATATATTTCTTAATTGATCCAATTAATTGGACTGCCAAACAGAAAGGAGGTGTACAAAAGCTGCATTCAAAAACATCTAGACGGAGTGAAATATCATATAATCATATTATTATTATTATTATATAATAAAATAACATAACATTTTCAGAATCCATTATTATAAAATATTTAATATAAATATAACATCATTTTAGAACGAATTAATGTAATTTTTTGTTGTTGTTTTAATTAATTGAACTGAGGTGTACAAATATAAAATATTTTCAAAAACTGAATTAAATAAAATAAATGCAGTAATTATCTACTTAAAATGTTTAAGATACAGTATAATATTGCTGATTTTGACAAATTTGACATGGGATTTTAAACATCACATTAGGGCTGGGCGATATATCGAGTATGTACGATGTATCGTTATATTTTTTTAAACGATATGGAATGAGGCAATACCGTTTATATCGATACAGTTCAGTAGTTTGATATGAGCACATCTGAAAAATAGCGGAGGTTGCAGAGCTGCTGCAGTGAAAGTAGCTAGGCTACGTAGTACAATTTGTCCTAAACATGACACAAGCTTATATTAATTGCGTCAAAATCACTTTGATATAGTTAACAAGTTTAAGGCAGCTTGCCGCCCGGTCAAATGCTCTGACAGACACTGTTGCTGACTGACAGATATAGCTACTTGCGCTGTTTAATGCGTTTGAGATGTGGTGCTTTCCTCAGTGCTCAACTTACATTTCACAGGTATATTCTCCGTCTGTAAATGTTAGAAAGTAAAGCAAATATGTCTATTTCACAACATATATGTCCATGTCAGAAGAGGACGAGCTTCTGCAAGCGAATCTCCGCTAAAATTCATGCTTCCTTGAACGAGCGCCGGCGCGCGCATGCACGTGAATAGTACTACGTAGTACGCAATAATTCTGACTAAAATAAACATATTGCTAAAATATTTGTTGTTGGAGAAAATAAATGTGCCATATGTGGAATTTTAAACCTACAAGTATATATTTTTAATGAAAGTGAAAGTGATTATAATGGGGTAATCAAATGCAGGCTAATATAATTAGTTTGTGCTTTTGTTTTTGTTTTTATTTTCATTTTTAGTTTAGCTTTTAGTCAATATAAAAACAAAAGCTTTTTGCACATAATATATTGCATAGCCTATATTATATTTGTTTCCATATCCTTCAATATCAACATTGTTTGTAGGATATCATTGGGCCGAATGTGAATATATATATATATATATATAAAGATTTTCTTTATCTAAATAGAAAACGTAGAAAGTACCGAGATATATATCGTATATCGCCATTTGACCAAAAAATATCGAGATATGATTTTTTGGCCATATCGCCCAGCCCTACATCACATGCAAACCCATGTGTGTACGTTACAAATATCCCCCATGAATGCAAGCGTGACCGTTGACGCACCCTCGTCGATGTCAGGGGGCAGGCCGCCCACAAACACTTTGCGGGAGAACCTCTCGATGCGCTCCCCGTTCTGATGGGGGTAACAGTGAGGAGACCCCAGGACCCCCGGGACCCCCTGGTTGCCATGGCCGTCGTCCAGGAGACCGTCGTCGATGGGGAAGAGGGAGGAGCGTCCTGTGGAAGAGTGAGTGACAGGTGAGACACCCACGGCATCGACATCCATCTCGGGTGATCTGATCAGCATTAAACATCTCAAACGGCATCTTCTGACATGGAAGAGTCCGAGTCAAATCAGTATACATCATGCTAGTAAGTGGTTATTCATGTAATAAGACACTGTCTCTGATAAGCGTGATCAGACCTCCTGAGATCGATGTGTAATGCTAGTATAATTGCTAGCCCGTTTGCATCATGAACTGCGCAGTTCTCACACGTAAGACTTGTGATTATTCTGATAAATCAAGTTATTTCTTGTCAATGAAGATAGAAATGTCACAGCGTACACACATATACATCAAATGTTGCCATGCTAACACAGATAGCGTAGATTTTACCTCGTCGTCTCCCATAGCTCCGGGCTGCATGTGAACAGAAACAATACAGAACACTATGAAACAGCCGACCGTCGCTTAACTTCATGATTGTGTAAATACAGATGATGAAATGTTCAGTGCAGCGGGTCATCATGGCTAGACCTATGGGTGGGCGATGTGGCCAGAATCTCATATACAGCCATATCTATCATGCTGGAAAAAAGGCTGTTAAGATACACCAGTAAAGTGTCACACAGCAAAACCTAATACTAGCCTGATTAATGTTAGGGTGTGTTCACACTTGTAGTTCGGTTCATTTGATCCTGACCCCCAAAAAATTAAAACATTTTGTTTTTCTGAACTAACGAGTTAATTATCTCATAATTACGAGAATTTTTCATGGAAAAAATGTTTTTGCTCTGTTTTTTCTGAATTTACAAGTTTATCATCTCAGAATACGAGATTTTTTCATGGGAAAAACGTTTTTGCTCTGTTTTTGCTGAATTAACGAGTTAATTATCTCAGAATTACGAGATTTTTTCATGGAAAAACGTTTTTGCTCTGTTTTTTTCTAAATTAACGAGTTAATTATCTCATAATTACGAGAATTTTTCATGGAAAAAATGTTTTTGCTCTGTTTTTTCTGAATTAACAATTTCTTATCTCAGAATTACGAGATTTTCATAAGAAAAACGTTTTTGCTCTGTTTTTCTGAATAACGAGATAATTATCAATTACGAGAATTTTCATGGAAAAACGTTTTTGCTCTGTTTTTTTCTGAATTAACGAGTTAATTATCTCAGAATTACAAGAATTTTTCATGGAAAACATGTTTTTGCTCTGTTTTCCTGCATTAACAAATTTATTATCTCAGAATTATGAGAATTTTTCATAAGGAAAACGTTTTTGCTCTGTTTTCCTGAATTAACAAGTTAATTATCTCAGAATTACGAAAATTTTTTAATGGAAAAAATGTTTTTGCTCTGTTTTTCTGATTTAACAAGTTTATTATCTCAGAATTATGAGAATTTTTCATGGAAAAAATGTTTTTGCTCTGTTTTTCTGATTTAACAAGTTAATTATCTCAGAATTACGAGAATTTTTCATGGAAAAATGTTTTTGCTCTGTTTTTCTGATTAAAACAGTTTATTATCTCAGAATTATGAGAATTTTTCATGGAAAAAATGTTTTTGCTCTGTTTTTCTGAATTAACCAGTTATATCTCAGAATTATGAATTTTTCATAAGAAAAACGTTTTTGCTCTGTTTTCCTGAATTAAACAAGTTAATTATCTCAGAATTACGAGAACTTTTTCATGGAAAAAATGTTTTTGCTCTGTTTTTCTGAATTAACAAGTTTATTATCTCAGAATTATGAGAATTTTTCATAAGAAAAACGTTTTTGCTCTGTTTTCCTGAATTAACAAGTTAATTATCTCAGAATTACGAGAATTTTTCATGGAAAACGTTTTTGCTCTGTTTTTCTGAATTAACAAATTATTTATCTCTTATTATTTGATAATCATGTCATTAATTCAGAAAAACAGAGCAAAAACTTTTTTCCATGAAAAATTCTCGTAATTCTGAGATAATTAACTTGTTTTGATAATTAAGATTTTGAAGTGAATGCATTACATTTCCGTAAAATACAGAGTTGAATAAAGTAAAATAAAACACTGCAAAGTCTTCACTGTATTAAACTAAAAATTAAAGCTACAAAGTTGTTTTTTCTATGAGGCCACTGTCACTTTAAGACCTAATGACCCGATCCATACAGACACACGTCAGCTGTTCACGATAAAGACACTGTGTTTATGTGTACTCTTGCCATGCCAAGAATTTTGACAAATATTTGTGTGTATTTGACCATTTAGGCGCCAGCTGATTTTACTCCAAATTCGTTCAATGTGATTTATAGAAAAATGTATGAATTGTATAAAAAAGAAAAGTTACCATCAAGCCCTAAACCAAACCTTCCGAAAATGTGCAACTGAAGTCAATCAAATTCATATGAATTAGCCGAAACATAAAATAGTTGTGAATTGTCATGAGACAGAAATGCGGCTTACTGTATTTCTCAAAAATCTGACTGACATGAATGGTATAGAAAAATAAATTAACCGGTTACACCGCTCACCCAAGCTAGACCAGCATCCAAACCAGTAAACTGGTCTTTTCAGATGACTGAAGGTTCAATGTAAAGGTGTGCTCAAACTTTCAACTGTGACAGTTCCTCTTAAGAAGTGTTTTTATTAATACCAAGTCAAGAAACAAGAATGAAGCCTCACTGCTGTCATTCCTCAAAGCACAATACTCCAGAAAGCCTCTTCCCACTTCCATATAATCACATGACAGACAGCACACGTTCCAGTGGATCAACTGACCAAC